CTAGACAACACTTGGATTGGCCAGGGAATTAATTTCTATAAGAGAGGGAAGAAGATGTAACTGCTTCCTTAGTGTCTACGCCTTCCTTTCTTTTGTGTCAAACGTACGAAATTAATTTTCCGCAAAATCAAAGATTGGAGACTGCATCACCCCTTCTGTAGTTCTTTTGGACCTTGGAGATTTGGGAATTAGCAACAAAAACCGGGCTAGTGAAAAATACAAAATAAAAAAATGAATAGTTAAATGTCAATTAAAATGGTAATGCTATAATTACAATGTTAGTAAAATTATAAGTTTATAATTTTATGTGGCTTTTAATAAAATATAATCTAGTATTGAATAAATGGATATATACAATATTACAAGTGAATTTATGAATAAAAAAAATTAATTATATAATAATATATCATGTTATATAATTATAACATTATATGGTGTTATAATTATAACATTTTCAGTTTTAAAACATTTAATTTTAAATATTTTTTGTTTTTAAACTATCTTTTAAATATAAAAAATAATTTAATTATTAAAAATATTTTAAATTAAAATTAACATTTAACCAAAATAAATGGGCCTTGCTTCCAACGTTTGCCACGTCCTCAAGGACCAAATGTTCCAGCGCGAACGGCTTCCACAAAGGATCTGACAAGGGCTGGCACCTGCCGAGTGGGAATTAATGGGGCAGATATTGGGAATGGTTATGGGTTTTTTTTTTTTTTTTTTTTTGTAAAAGGAATAGTTATGGTTATTAATAAAAATGTTAAAGTCATTAAAATTATAAAATATTATTTTAAGAATATTTTTTTAATTTAATTATTAATTAATAATTGATAAAATAATTATTATTTATTAATTAATAAATTAAAATTAATTGAAAACCTAATTTTTTAACGTTGTCTAAGGAACAAAATTGAAATATTAGTGGCCTTAACATTTTTCATGATGACAATAATTATCTGCAGTGTATATGTATCAACTTTTCCCATGGTTAGGATAGAGGTCAATTTTATCGTGAAAATTTTTATTGAAAAAATGATTAATAAAATATTTTATTGAAAGCTAATGAAACCTTTTTTATGAAATTTTGTTAAAACTGTAAATTTCTATATGTACTGTATTTGGTAAGATGTCGATTTTGAGAAAATTGGTGAAAGATATCAAGTAAGAAAGTTAGGGGAGAAATTTTGTTAATTAAAAATTGTGAAAAAATTATTTATTAAAAATTATAGTAAGAAAAATAAAAATTTAAGATGTTAATTTTATTTTTTTTATTATAGTATTAAGGCATAAAAGCACAATCAATTTTTCAAGTTACAATAGTAGAGAGGGATAATAAGCTTATACTTGACAGCGACAAATAATCCCCTTGGTCACATTTGCCCGTATCTGTTTCATCCAGTCAGGTGCCGGGAAACAAGTTTTTCCACTGTAATTTTTTCTGAATTTACATGTGAAAATTCATTTATCAGCCGGCTACAAGGAATCGAAAATGGCAGGCTAACGAGGCCAAAAGCGAAAAGCGTAACACATGATAATGCTACTGTCTGCCCAATTCGATTCCCAAAACGGTCACCGTTCAAAAATTTACCAGTTTTGCAGTAGATTGCAAAGTCCTCACAGTTTTTCCTGAATAGACCGTAGACACCAAAACCCTTCTTGAGAAGGTCACCAGCGCGTTCAAGAACAACCGCTGGTGAATCAGAGGAGGCAATGGTGCAGGTCCCTCCTCGAACCTTTGCAAGAAAGTAAGGAATTGAAACATCATACTCAAAAAGGCAGAGGTGACCATCAGCCACGAAGCAGTCAACGCAGGAAGAAATGACACCGCTAAGTCCTGAATGATAACCACATCGTGGGCACGGATTGCCTGTAGCAGCGGAAGCAGGTGAGCTAGAAATAGCGGAATCTATGGGAGTTCCAGAGCCTGCTCCCGCTTTATTGGTGAACTGGATCACGTTTCCTTCACCAACATATATGCCTGGCATCATGACAGGAAAAGTTAGGAAAAGTATGGCTGCAGACAAAAGTAAAGCCTAAGGTTGTTTAAACTAGGCCCCTAATAAAAACAAAACTGCAAGTGGTCAACGCTTGTGTTGCTGTTAGATGAATAATTTGAAATATCTAAAGAAATTCAAAATACAGACTTCAAAATATTGAATTTATAAAATTCTCTATTTGGATAAATTGTTTTAATTTAAAATTTGTCGTCTTATTTTGCTAGAAGCTAAAGCTTGTTACATCCTTGGCCAAAGAAAAAAAATGGCTAGTTGCATCCTTAAAATATTAAGGGGAAAAAGCAAGAAACAGATTGATAAAATTTCATTAAATTCAAGAACCAAAGTTCACTTATAGTTTCATATCTCATAATCAATTTTTAGCATTCATATCTCATTAGTTTGCTAGTGAAATCATACTCTCCGCTCAATTATCAGGGACCCACATTATGAATTCAACTTTGGATATTTTCCCACAATTCACCCCATGCGCATCCATGCTTGACCCCTTAGCACTAAAATGTAATGTAATCTATCTAGTATTATAGGATATGTTTTGATAAGTTTAATTTTTATATACATTTACATACTCTTTTTGGCTTAGAAATAAATTTTTATGTATACTTTATAACTTAGTTTCTTCTAAATTTACATTGATTTCATTGTTTTGTAGGTGAATATTAAAGAATAAACTTAATGAAAATTAATTCTTCAACAAGTGGTAAGTTGAGCATGTAGTGGTATTTTAGCCATAACTATCTCTCCAAATATCAGATTGAGGTGATTCTTAAGGCGTTGAGAGCTAAGAAGTAGAGCTACAATGTATCTTTTACAAGCTCAACCCAATTCAATCATATTCAAGTGGTAATTCCAGTTGGAAGTTCCAATTCTGACACAACAATTGCTGGGTGGATTGACAAAGGAACCGGAGCGTATGGACTTTCATTTTATTTAATTCAGAGGATTAAAGGTTGTGGGTTGGTAGCAATTTAGGCCCACAAATCCAAAAGCCCCAAAAGAATAATGGGCTAAAACGAAAACGGTGGAGGAGTATAATATATACATATATATATATATATATACACCAACTTTGCTATTGGTAAAAAGGTCCACCTCTTGTTATTCTTGATTTTGAAGAATATAAAATGAATAGGAATACAAACTTGGATTATTTCTAGGGCTCTTGATTCGATTTTCATAAATCCTCAAATATTCTATTTGAGTATATTTTCTCTTATGTTGAAAGCCAATTTAATTGTGTGATTAGTTACATATTCAATATATTTCTGTTTATGGTGACTAAAAACGACACTTTGGGTTGAGGTTCCAACCCTTGATAATAGGGCTTGAAACCCTTGATAATTATATTTTTGCTCGAACTTAATTGTCACATTTCACATTCCAACTCTCACTTTCAAGGTGCAAAACCACAAATCCCATTGTGAGGTGAAGAAAACAACAAAGGTGCCAACCTCTCATGCTGAGATCTTGAATTACTTATCATACTTGGAATAAATTCTTTCCAAATGAGTTCCAATTATCATAAACCATTGATTGAGCAATCTCAAAGTATAAAATCAAATCTAGAAGAATGGAGAAACACATAAGAAAGGCATTCAACTTGAGAAACCAAGAGAGATTGAGCTTCTCTTTTGTTCTTTGAGAAATCAACTATTTTCTATAATTGTTCTTATTCTCTTTCATTGTAACAAGTGAAAGAGGGTATGGGAAAACTTTGTTAGATCTAGAAATCCACCCTTGAGATATAGGAAGGGTTGAGAGTTTGTAATAAGGGGATTGAATGGTTCAATAGCACTCATAAGATATTGAGAGAGTGATTGGGTAATCTTGTTTGATCTAGAGAAAACCATCCTTGTGATATTGGATTGGGTTTGTAAAACAACGTAACAAGGGATTGAATTATTGAAGGTGGATAGTGCCAACAAAGATATTGTAAACGGTTGCCTCTATACTCGGAAGTTGGAGGAGAGCTTTTGAAGCTAAAGCAAACTCTTAAACAAGTAATTTGAGGAGTGAACTAGGTACAAATTGTGACCAAACCACTATAAATCCTTATGTTTGAGCTTTCTCTTCCCTTAACTTTTAACTTTTGCACATTAAATCATTTGTTTGCAATTGCTTTTGAGTGTTCATTGTTTTACGCTTGAAAATCACAAAATTTTTGAAAACCCAATTCACCCCCTCTTGGGTTGCCATCATTTGGGCCAACACCTCTTTAATTCAATTCCTTTGGTAGTCCTATCTTTAGCAACCAGTCGAGAGGATTAGAGACAACAGTAGCTACACATGATTGAGTGAAAAAAAGCCTAAGCACAATTTGGCTTGCTCTTATTCTTAGGAAATGATTTCTCATTTGTCGTTGTTAATTTTGCAATGTTTCTTTGTTGGATTACTTTAATTTTTATGATTGTTCTTAACTTGATTATGAGTGGCTAAATTACTTGAACTAGGGTTAGAGAGATTTTAATTCTTGGATTATGTGATTGATTTTAGTTTAATTCAAGATCTATTATTTATTTGGATGATAGTTTATGTTGTTGAACTTAATGCTTTAAAAGTTTAATCATCTTTCAATTGATCTAGCGATTGATGCATGAACTTGATAAAGAATTACATAGTTAGACTAATAATAATATAAACCATATGTTGAACTATGAGACTGAGAGATAATTAGCATTACATGTGGTAATGCGGGAAGAGAAGAGAGTTGGAAGCTCCCCCTTCTTAAGTTAGAGGTTTCATGAGTTTATTTTAAATTACATAGAGATATGATTAATTTAATAAGTAAGGGAATGATTAATTTAACAAGTAGTGAAATGATTAATTTGACTTGAGAAAACTAATTAATTAATTTAGAAAAATCCACCATCTCATGCGATAACATTGTTGTTTGATTTTGGATTAGATTAATTAATCAATTATATAATTCAAATTAAATGAAATCTAAATTTTGATTCCTTTTCATTCATAGTTTTCTTTTTACTTAAAAAATTCATTTAGATCAAGCAGTTGAATTTTATTCAATTAATTGATTAATTCAACTTAGGTTAGATTAATAATATCTTGATAATGTATAATAGTCTTTGAAGGAATGGCATCTCTTTCTCATTTTATACTATATAATTGATTAGGTTAACTTACCTAAGTGTAGTGTGTATTTTATGCATCAATCCTTGATTTTCTATGGAACCCAACATTAGGTACTAAAACTACTAAATTAGGAAAATGTGGCTTGATCAACATCATTGACATATCAAATCTAGCAAACCATAGCATCATAGTGGTAGGTAATAATGAAAGGAATCTCTCATAAAATGCACAATGCAACTTTTTTTTGCAAAATATTGAAAACAAAAAAGATAAGGAGAAAGAGGGGGAAATTAACCATGATGGGCATAGATGTAGCTTGTCCTCCATGAGTAGATATGATCCCCAGGCTTGAGTTCAGCCCTAGAAATCTCCTGGGATAAAAGTCCCATGTCTTCGCCTTCTTTTTTCTCTCAATCTTGAAGAAGCCAGAGGAAGAGAGCGAAGAATATATATAGTTGCTTCCTTAGTGTCTATGCCTTCCTTTCTTTTGGATCGAAACTATATTACTATCTACACCTTCCTTTCTTTTGAATCAAAACTAAATCTTCTTTTCTTTTGGATCAAAACCACATTACTGTTTGCACCTTCTTTTCTTTTGGATCAAGACTATATTACTGTCTACACCTTCTTTTCTTTTGGATCAAAACTAAATCTTCCTTTCTGTCATTATTGTACCAAATTGTTGGAAAGTAGCCTAATTAACCTTAACAAAACAATTTTTTTTTATGATTGGTAATATTGATTGTTTGTGTGTGCCTAAGCTAATCCCCTAGATACATCCCAATAGTTATCTTCATGTTGGAAATTCAAATCTTGGAATAAGTAGAAAGCCCTTATTATATATAATTCATAATTAGGTTTGTGCTTAAGCTTACTCTGCAAAAAAAAAAAAAAAAATCTATAACAAGGGAAGAAAATTTGACGTTGACAACCAAATGCCAATCTCAAGGAACAAAAATTGGAAATAATAGAAAGTTGAAATAGTATAATCCAAGAGTGAATGGACTCAACTAAGAGGCAGCCTTTTCCAAGACGCAATCTTTCCTGGCCCTTTCAATTTGTTTCACCTCTTTAGTTGCATCAATAGGGGCGGAGCCAGGAATTCAGAGGAACCGGTTAATTTTGTCTACATCTAAATCAAATTTGAGCTTTTTATAAAATAAAATAAAATAAAAATAAAAGTAAAAATAAAAAGAATTGTGCCTCAAAGTATTATTCTCTCACGTTTGTTTTAATTGTGTTAGTTTGATTTTAACATAAAGTTTAACTTGATAAATTTATATAACAAATAGATAATAATTAAAAAAATTTCCTTCTAAACGTGTTCATTGTTAAATATTTTTACTTAGATTAAAAAAAATTTTCAATTATTATTCATCTGTCATATAAAATTATTAAGTTAAGTTACATAAAGTCGATGAAATAGGACAACTAAATAGGACCAAAGAGAGTAACACATAATAATAAAGTTGTAAACTTGTATCTTAAAACAATTAACTTAGCCATGGTCAATATGAAATATACTTTATTTTGGAATTTTTCGTGATTAATAAATAATTATCTTTTTTATTTATAGAAAAAATATAGAATAAAACATTTCT